AATTTTGTTGTAAATAAATAAATTTTGTTGTAAATAAATAAATTTTGTTGTAAATAAATAAATTTTGTTGTAAATAAGTGAATTTTACATTCTAAAACTTTAGTTATATCTCCCTCTAGGTTATATCTCAACCTAAATTGTATCTCCATTATTTAGAGAATAAGTTTCCTGTATTTTTTAGATTATATCCTTACCTGAGTTATACAGTCCGTCCGGGACAGCAAAAGTTATATAGTAAATTTAAATAACTTTTTTAAATCAAGTTAAAATAAAATTTCCTCTTTTTTTTTTTATCTAAATAACAAATTTGAAAGAGGAATTTTTATTTTAAAAAAGCTACAACAGTTTGAAATATATGACTTTTATAAATTAGGTGCATATATATGATTTTTTTTAAAAAAAATTATATGTAATTTAATAAAAGTTTTAATCTGATAATATTTTTTTTATATAGATTATTATTATAAAAATTTGTTTTACGAAAAAGATAAATCTTTTGCTATCCCGAACTCTGTATATCCAAAAAATTCTTTGAACTAAAAGGGGAATATAATTGAGTTTTTACCGTATAAATTTCACACTAACCTCAGGACGATTAATAGAACAAATTCCAATCTTAAATTTTTCAGTTTGATCACTTTTTATTATATTAATTTGAAGATGTAAAAGTCCATTTCCAAAGTTTATAATTCGTTCATTAACTTGTTCATATGTCTGCCATACATAATTTCCATAACTTCCTGTTTCTTCATCAAATTTGCGGAACCCCAAACATTCTCTATTTTTAAACTTTTTTAATGCTTTTTAATTTATAAAAAATTAATAAGATGGTGGAATGAAACGTATAATTAATCAATTTCAAAAACATCAAACTACTTACAACTTTGCCAGATATCGCATACTTTAGTGATACCGGGCTCGGGAGATATTTTAAGCTGACCTCCGGGATTTAATGAATTTCTATAATGACCTTTATTATTATTATAATTATTATTATTATTATTATTATTATTATTATTATTATTATTATTATTATTATTATTATTATT